TTTGGTCTTCAATTAAAACAATGTGGAATAGTTTCACAGCTCACGCCACCTGGAACACCACAACGTTATGGTTTGTCCGAACATCGTAACCGCACTTTATGGGATATGGTGCGATCTATGATGTCTCTTACCGATTTACTGCTATCGTTTTGGGGTTATGCATTAGAGACAGCTGCATACACTTTAAATTGGGCACCATCAAAATCCGTTGAGACGATGCCTTATGAACTATGGTTTGGCAAGAAACCAAAGTTGTCGTTTCTTAAAGTTTGGAGTTGCGATGCTTATATGAAAAAGGTTTTCAACCTGATAAGCTCGAACGCAAATCGGAGAAGTGCGTCTTCATAGAATACCCAAAGGAAACTGTTGGGTACTCCTTCTATCACAAATCCAAAGGCAAAACATTCGTTGCTTAGAATGGATCCTTTCTAGAGAAGGAGTTTCTCTCGAAAGAAGTGAGTGGGAGGAAAGTAGAACTTGATGAGGTAATTGTACCTGCTCCCTTATTTGAAAGTAGTTCATCACAGAAATCTATTCCTGTGACTACTACACCAATTAGTGAGGAAGTTAATGATGATGATCATGAAACTTCAGATTAAGTTACTACAGAACCTCGAAGGTCTTCCAGAGTAAGATCCACACCAGAGTGGTACGGTAATCCTGTTCTGGAAGTCATGTTACTAGACCATGATGAACCTACGAACTATGAGGAAGCGATGATGAGCCCAGATTCCACGAAATGGCTTGAGGCCATAAAATCTAAGATATGATCCATGTATGAGAACAAAGTATGGACTTTGATTGACTTGCTCGATGATCAGCAAGCCATGTTAAATAAATGGATCTTCAAGAGGAAGACGGACACTGATAGTAGTGTTACTATCTACTAAGCTCGACTTGTTGCGAAAGGTTTTCAACAAGTTCAAGGTGTTGAATATGATGAGATTTTTTCACTCGTATCGAAGCTTAAGTCTGTTTGAATCATGTTAGCAATTGCCACATTTTATGAAATCTGGCAAATGGATGTCAAAACTGCATTCCATAATGGATTTATTAAAGAAGAGTTGTATATGATGCAACCAGAAAGTTTTTGTCAATCCTAAAGATGCTAACAAAGTGTGCAAGCTCCAGCGATCCATCTATGGACTGGTGCAAGCATCTCAGAGTTGGAATATACGCTTTGATGAGTTGATCAAAGCATATGGTTTTATACAGACTTTTGAAGAAGCCTGTATTTACAATAAAGTGAGTGGGAGCACTACAACATTTCTGATAAGTATATGTGAATGACATATTGTTGATCAGAAATAATGTATAATTATTCTGCAAAGCATAAAGGAGTGTTTGAAAGGAGTTTTTCAAAGAAAGACCTTGGTGAAGCTGCTTACACATTGAGCATCAAGATCTATAGAGATAGATCAAGACGCTTGATAAGATTTTTCAATGAGTACATACCTTGATAAAATTTTGAAATAGTTCAAAATAGAACAGTCAAAGAAGGAGTTCTTGCCTGTGTTACAAGGTGTGAAGTTGAGTAAGACTCAAGACCCGACCATTGCAGAAAATAGAAAGAGAATGAAAAGTCATTCCCTATGCCTCAGTCATAGGTTCTATAAAGTATGCTATGCTGTGAACCAGACCTATTGTATACCTTGCTCTGAGTTTGGCAAAGGAATACAATTTTGATCTAATAAGTAGATCACTGGACATGGGTCAAGAATATCCTTAGTGAGGACTAAGGAGATGTTTCTCGATTATGGAGGTGATAAAAGAGCCCGTCGTAAAAGTTACAACGATGCAAGCTTTTACACCAATCCAAATGACTCTAAGTCTCAATCTGGATACATATTAAAAGTGGGAGCAATTAGCTAGAGTAGCTCCGTGCAGAGCATTGTAGACATAGAATATTTGCGAAATACATACGGCTCTGAATATGACAGACCCGTTGACTAAGCTTCTCTCACGAGCAAAACATGATCATACCTTAGTACTCTTTTGGGTGTTAATCACATAGCGATGTGAACTAGATTATTGACTCTAGTAAACCCTTTGGGTGTTGATCACATGATGATGTGAACTATGGGTATTAATCACATGTAGATGTGAATATTGGTGTTAAATCACATAGCGATGTGAACTAGATTATTGACTCTAGTGCAAGTGGGAGACTGAAGGAAATATGCCGTAGAGGCAATAATAAAGTTACTATTTATTTCCTTATTTCATGATAACTGTTTATTATTCATGCTAGAATTGTATTAAACGGAAACATGATACATGTGTGAATACATAGACAAACATATAGTCACTAGTATGCCTCTACTTGACTAGCTCATTAATCAAAGATGGTTATGTTTCCTAACCATAGACATGTGTTGTCATTTGATTAACGGGATCACATCATTAGGAGAATGATGTGATTGACATGACCCATTCCCTTAGCCTAGCACTTGATCGTTTAGTATATTGCTATTGCTTTCTTCATGACTTATACATGTTCCTGTAACTATGAGAATTATGCAACTCCCGTTTACCGGAGGAACACTTTGGGTACTACCAAACGTCACAACGTAACTGGGTGATTATAAAGGAGTACTACAGGTGTCTCCGAAGGTACATGTTGAGTTGGCGTATTTCGAGATTAGGTTTTGTCACTCCGATTGTCGGAGAGGTATCTCTGGGCCCTCTCGGTAATGCACATCATTATAAGCCTTGCAAGCAATGTGACCAAATGAGTTGGTTACGGGATGATGCATTACGGAATGAGTAAAGAGACTTACCGGTAATGAGATTGAACTAGGTATTGGATACCGACGATCAAATCTTGGGCAAGTAACATACCGATGACAAAGGGAACAACGTATATTGTTATGCGGTTTGACTGATAAAGATCTTCGTAGAATATGAAGGAACCAATATGGGCATCCAGGTCCCTCTATTGGTTATTGACCGAGAATGGTTCTAGGTCATGTCTACATAGTTCTCGAACCCGTAGGGTCCGCACGCTTAACGTTAAGATGACAGTTTTATTATGAGTTTATAAGTTTTGATGTACCGAAGTTTGTTCGGAGTCCCGGATGTGATCACGGGCATGACGAGGAGTCTCGAAATGGTCGAGACATAAAGATTGATATATTGGAAGCCTATGTTTGGACATCGGAAAGGTTCCGGGTGAAATCGGGATTTTACCGGAACATCGGGGGGTTACCGGAACCCTCCCGGGGGTTAATGGGCCTTAGTGGGCCATGAGGGAGAAGAGGAGGGCCGGCCAGGGCAGGCCGCGCGCCCCCTCCCCCCTAGTCCGAATAGGACAAGGAAGGGGGGGGGGCGGCGCCCCCCTTTCCTTCTCCACCAAGGCAAGAGGGGGGAGTCCTACTCCCGGTAGGAGTAGGACTCCTCCAGGAGCACCCCAAAGGGGCCGGCCGCACCTCCCCTCCCTCCTTTATATACGGGGGCAGGGGGGCACCCCATAACACACAAGTTGATCTACGGATCGTTCCTTAGCCGTGTGCGGTGCCCCCCTCCACCATATTCCACCTCGGTCATATCGTCGCGGAGTTTAGGCGAAGCCCTGCGTCGGTAGAGCATCATCATCATCACCATGCCGTCGTGCTGACGGAACTCATCCCCGAAGCTTTGCTGGATCGGAGCCCGGGGATCGTCATCGAGCTGAACGTGTGCTGAACTCGGAGGTGCCGTACGTTCGATACTTGGATCGGTCGGATCGTGAAGACGTACGACTACATCAACCGCGTTGTGCTAACGCTTCCGGTTACGGTCTACGAGGGTACGTGGACAACACTCTCCCCTCTCGTTGCTATGCCATCACCATGATCTTGCGTGTACGTAGGAAATTTTTGAAATTACTACGTTCCCCAACAAGGGGAGCCACGAGGGGCCCACGAGGGTGGGGGGCGCGTCATGCTGCCTCGTGGCTTCCTCGTTGTGTCTCCGACTTCATCTCCAAGTCTTCTGGTTTGCTTTCGGTCCAAGAAAGATCATCGCGAAGGTTTCATTCCGTTTGGACTCCGTTTGGTATTCCTTTTCTACCGAGCTCTAAAATAGGCAAAAAACAAAAACTGGCCTGGGCCCTTAGTTAATAGGTTAGTCCTAAAAATAATATAAAATAGCATATTAAAGCCCATTAAGCATCCAAAACAGATAATATAATAGCATGGAACAATAAAAAAATTATAGATACATTGGAGATGTATCACGCCCCTCCCCCGTGAGGTCGGTGACGGCTAGATCGCCCGTCCCATGTGAGGTCGGCGGCGGCGATCTCGTGCGCCCTGTGAGGTCGGCGGCGAAGTTCTCGTGTGCCCTGTGAGATCCGCGGCGGTGAGATCGCGCCTCCCCTCTCTCGTGCGTCCGCAGCCAGTATGTCGAGGGGGTCGAGAGGAGCCTATATGGTTTTTTTTAGTGCGTGGGTAGGGGGAGGGAAGTCGAAAAAAACCAGCAAAAAAAAGGTTGAAAGTGGTGGGATGAAAATAAACCGATGAGACTATTCGACCAACTCAGATATTAGGAGTAGAGATAAGTAGAATGGAGATTTGTCACAACTATGTTTGTGCTCAGCACCCACCAGGGCTGGGCTGGGCTGGGCTGCCCACCAGTCCACCACCCACCAGGGGCCAGGCGCGCCCTGGTGTCTTGTGGTCACCAGGGTGGCCCCCTTCAGTAGTTATTTGCTCCAATAATTTTTATATGTTTCAAAACAATTGTCCGTAAATTTTTAGCTCATTTGGAGAAGTGCAGAATAAGTACCTCCGACGTAGTTTTTTCAGATCCATAAGTAGTGATCTTATCTAGTCTAGAATGAAACGTAAGCATCCGTAATACGAGTACAAAATAAATAAAACATGAAAAATGCATTTCACGGGTGAGTGTAAAATGTTGGCTGACCTGCGGGCCCGTTCCTCTTCACAGGCTGTGGCCTTTTTCTAGCGTTTTCGCCACCATCCTCCCGCCGCCGCCGCCGCCATCCTCTCCGCGCCGCCATGAATCCCGTCCCCGCCGCCGACGACGACGGCCACCGCCGCTCGCCTTCACCAGGCGCGCCCGCCCCGGACCCATACGACGGCGGCAGCGGGTGGGGGAGCGACAAGCAGCCGACGCGCGCGGAGGAGGGCCGCCCCGTCGGGAAGGCCGCCATGGAACCCTCGCCGTCCACCATCTCCGACGACGGCGGCGACCAAGGTACCCAGCCGCATCCGCCTCCTCACCAGATTTGCTTCTCCATCCCGTCTCCTTCCCTTCAGATTCCATTCGATTCATGCTCCTGATGTTCCGCCGGGCCCAGAAGACGGCGGCAGCGACGACCTGACGCGCGCCGTGTCCCTGCTGTCGCTCGCGGAGGCGGGGCTCACCCTCACCGCCGGGAAGCCTGGGTCCGCCCCCCGCACCGTAGATCCGTCGCCGCCGGCCTCCACCGTCTCCTCCCATGGTCACCAAGGTACCCAGCCGCATTCCCCGCTCATCACACCTGCGAGTGGTTCCACGCGTGGCTCGGAACCAGATGACGATGATCTCGCCGGCGTGAACAAGCGAACGCACGCGAGGTTCCTCGTCACCCACGCCGAGGCCGGGCTCATCATCGGGGCGGGCGGGTCCACCATCGCTGCCATTGAGGCCCGCTCCGGCGCCCGGGTCAGGCTCTCCCGCCACGACCAGCTCCTCCCCGGCACTGACCGCAGGGTTGTGCTCGTCTACGGCCTCCTCAGCCAGGTCATGGAGGCCATGGAGCTACTCCTCCAAAGGCTCCTACTCTACCAGGTTCAGGTTTTACATCTGCCTATATATCTCTTCACTCTTCATTGTTCAGGGCAACAACAAACTACACTTGCTGAATTCCCCTAGCAAGTGAGGTGATTTCATCCTCTCAATTTGATCATTGCTTCTCTCAGGGTGACCAGGCGTCCGACTCTGAGGCCACGCTAGTGCTGGTGGTGCCTCAGCCCTGCTGCGGCGCGCTGATTGGCAAAGGAGGATCTGTTATCAAGTATATATGTTTTCCCTCCTTTTCTTCATCTTTTAGATTCATGTGCGTCCGTCGACTTCGTGCATCGCCTATCATGCTATGCTTGCTGCATCTCTGATTAATGAACCGTGCGTGTGTGTTCCGCCTTGTGTACCCATGCGTGCTTGATTGGATTTACCGCGTTGTTTTGCCTTGTTTGGAAATGTAGTAAATACATTCCTACTTCTCTGTTATGCTTGTGAATTGTGATGTGTGTGGTGCTCTTCTAGTCAGGCTGTGGCCTTTTTCTTGTGTTTTCGCCATCCTTTGCTGGCCTGAGTTGTGGAAGCCAACACACTTACACACATCCTTCTTTATTGCTGACTAGGTCATTCACTGAAGCTTCAGAAACTGCAATTCAGGTCTCACCACAGAACAGCTCCTATGGCTTCAACGACAGGCTGGTCACCATCACAGGGCCCTTGGATAATCGATTGCGAGCAGTATTTCTGATAATATTCGAGCTGCTAGAGGACATTCGTTATTTGTTTCCTTGTGCAGCTGCTATGGTAACTCCTCCACCCCACACCGTCCCTCTTCAGTATCCCTTCCCTGAATTAATAAAAACGAATTATTCTATGTGAAGTCGTCGTATACAAGCTGTATTAATTCGTATTATAGGCGCAGACAGTGTCCCCATCATGACGTGATTACCCTGTGTACAGCTCCTATCACATTTAATTACCTGCTCCACCGATGCCTTCAATTGGACCAGATTTCAGTTGCAATAGCTGTACTAGATCATCCTGTGATCCAAGTTTTAGTTCTAATCTGTACAATACAACAAACGGACCAGATTAGTAATGCTTTGCTTATTAGATCTAATAAGTATATCATATTGTAGCTAATTTATCTACCCTAACCCCCGTTGTAATACTAGCCAGGAGAATGCATGCAATTGTCCAGTTTCTAGCTCAAATCTTTAGAATCTGGATATTATTTCCCAGCCTACTAGATATAATTAATATTATAATTTTAATCTATCCCCCCTGCGTAATTCAAGGTGGACCAACAAGGGTGATGAATGAAAATTAAATACCTGTTCTGAACACTTATGTGCATTTGTCTGTCTTTCCTTTAAACGTAGCACCTGCAATTTAGTTATGTCGCATCCCCTTGGCATCAATTTCCCATCGTTTGATTCCACACCTCACCATGGTCAAACTAGAGCTCTCTCAATCTTCATCAGCATCAACCAGCAAAGAACAACATTAATGTCTCACAGGCTACAACGCACCTCCCCCTAGCAGCCTACATAGTATACGCCCCCCTATTCTACTCCCCACGCAGTCCCAAGCCGACAGTTCACATACTGTTCACTACGAAAGCATCTCCTTGGACAACCCCTCCCACCTCTTCCAGTAATTTTTCAAAAATAATATTACTGCTAGAAGCAGTAAACTTCTCAAGCCACTACTTTCTGATTTTTTTACTACACGGTTTGTCAACTTCAGTATCTGGAATAGATGAGATCCCTGAGCATTCATAAGGCATTTCAACTTATCTTTGGCTCTCATCGATCAACTGTTCCTTGTTGGTTCATTCTCACCCCATCCTTCCACAAGCTGGACAATTTCTTTTTCCAGAACTCACTGCAATTTCATATAATATATAAATTATATGTACCAACTAGCAGTACGTATGATCTGTTCATCGAAATTTACTTGCATTCACTATGAAAGGTTTCTTTTCTGTACTCCCTGTAGGAGTTTCATGTCAAGAAACTGGGTAAATTACAGAACATTGGCTCCCTAACTGAAATAATTGCTAGCGGTGCTAGGCCTACTAATTTCATCTGTAACAAAAAATAAATAAACTGACTAACATAAAGGTCTTTTCCATGCATCCTTTGGTAAATAAGTTTGAAATTATCTCTTACTAATCTTGCATACTGGATGTAAAATTATTTGTGAAGAACATTATTTAGTGTTTAATATGTACAGTTAACCAAATGGTCCGGGCCTTTTGCGCAATCTCAACCTTTTCTCTTGATTTGTTCAGCCAAACACTCCAATGAGATCACCTGTCAACAAGGATGCCCAAGAATCTGTCACTATTAGTGTTGCTGATGAGCATATGGGTGCTGTTATTGGTCGTGGTGGAAGGATTATCAATGAGATCAGCAAGGTATCCTTGTTCATCACAAACAGTCATGTAACACGTCCTTTTTCCACGTAACTGTCTAACATGAAGTATCTGTACAGTGCCCGGGAATCTTGTTTTTTGACCAAACTTCTCTAGAGGTGTTGCGTCCTCCTAGATGAGTTGTGTTAAGGAAAGCTGGTTTTGTTTGGGTTACTGTCGTCATGTGGTCCTATATATATGCGGTGCCTAAGTAAAGCAAGTTACTTACAGCAAGAAGAGGGTAGCAGTATTCCTTGTGAACACACTATATGGCACCATATGGGTTTTGCACCAGTTGGAAGGAATTGAAGGAACTTAAGTACTGGACTACTGTGTGCCACGCGTACAAGGCAGAAGGTTAGTTTGTCAGTCATATGATGGGTGGAGTTTGTTTGGGTCATGAGATGTGAGGCCTGGCACAAGGAACCTGTTAAAGCACGTTGGCGGTAGCTAAGCTCCCCATCAGAGCATGTGCACTAGGAACATGCGTGCATGGTGTAGTAAGTATTCCTGGATGTTTTAATTGGTGTTGAGGTCTTTATTTTGTCTTTCCTCTTCTTATCAAACTTATACATATGTATGCATGGCAGTGGATATTTTGGGTGATCATTGAGATTTTCTTTGGAGTTCAGGTTAGCGGAGCATGGATCGACATCTCAGGCAAGGGGGAGTTCATACCCGGGACCCGCGACAGGTAGCCGTGCTCAGTTTCTGTTCTTTGCGTGTGCGGGGGCAAAAGATGCATGATTTCAGTTTGCGAAACCAAGTCGCCTGTACCGTATGTATGTAACCTAATAACATTGGGTGTGTGATGCAGGGAGGTGACTATGAGGGGCACATCAGAGGCGATCCGTGCAGCCGAGGCGATTATCATGCACTGCGTCTCCGTGGCCAGCGGCAACTTCACGGGGCGGAGGGCGGAGGGCAGAAGTGGCAAGGGTCTGCTTAGCAGGCTGGATGAGGAGGATGCTGATGCATCGGCTGAATCTGAGTGAGGAGAGTGTGATACAGTTGTAGTAGAATGGTGGTAGGTAGTCAGTGACGGACAGACAGACAGCACAAACACTGCACAGGAATCAATCGAAGCACTAGAGTTTTGCGTCTTTGGTATAGGTGGTGATTAATCAAATCAATCGCTAGTTCAATGGATCAGTCAGGTAAATTGATGGGGATCAGTGATGATGGGATGGCTAGGTTCTGCTGGTCAATGCTGCTTGACCAATTTTGCTTGTTAACATTACATTTGGGATCTTGCCAACCCGTTGGCTGGGCAGCTGAGGTTGCTGCCAGCCCACCCGAGTTCAAGTCCCGGCTTGGACGCGTGGTGCTCGCGGATTTTCTCCTATAAAAAAATGCCAACGAGGGTTAGCCCTTTGGCTGGTCTCATTTTATTTAACATTACATTTGGGATCTTGCATGTTTTGCCTGGATGATGCATGAGTTGGATGATCTGGAATTCAACAAACCAAATGTGTTTGATACTAGAATCTTATCTCCCCCGAATGTTGCCTTGCCTTGATGTTTGTTTTTTGTTCGTTCAACTGAATTTGCAAATTACTCCCTCCGTCCGGAAATACTTGTCATCAAAATGAATAAAAGGTGATGTATCTAGACATATTTTTTTTGGAAATGTGGGGGATTTAGTTTCATCTTTTGGAAGTCCTAAATGCATTGCCTTCCCACACCAGAATTTCATGGGTCCAACTAGCAACATGTTGGCTGTTGTTCAATACCGGAAATTTCATGAATCACCACAACACGCGTCAACAAGAGTATGAGATGCAAACTTTTTTTTCTTGAACAAGAGTTTCTTATTTTGTGGTTCCAGTGGGATTTTTTCAATTAACTAAAATCATATGAGAATATGAGATGCAAACATTTTTTTCCACAACAAGAGTGGGAAATTAGAAAATAAACTAAAAACTGCATTAAATAAAATCGGTGTGGCAGTACATCTTACAAACATGACCCTAACAAAATACTACTCCCTCCGTCCCATAATGTAAGGCGTTTTTTGACACTATGAGACGGAGGAAGTAGGAAATAACGCACAAGTTCCTAAAAATTCCAAAGAGGACCTGAGAAAAAGAAAAAGTAATTAGGTCCAAACTGCTCCTGAGCTGAACAAATCTTGCCGTCGCCAGGGACAAGACCACTTGTTCGGGCGAGACCTCTACGCTCTACCATGACAGGACTCCATCCTGGAAGAACATTGCTTCCCCTTTGGCACTAAGATGCCCGAAAAGAATAGATTTGGTCGCATTTCGACCAAAAAGAACGACGACTCATTGAAGAAGGTTGAATTACAGTTAACAAAGCAAATATAGCCTGTTGTCGGCAAGAGCTGTACATGCTACAATGTGATGAGAATTGGCAAACAGAGAGATTCATATGATTCAGAAGTATCAATCTAGGAAGGAAAACAAGCATAGTAACGAACTCAATGCTTACCTGTACAAGACAAAGAGAAGGCTGAGGCATGTCATGCGACAGAGGAACGGCGAGATCAGCTGTTACGAGAGGCAACGATGCAGCCGGTGAAGCTAGAGGGTTTAGGGCCGGCGGAGGCAGAGGGGCCGACGGAGGGTGCTTCATGGCCGGTGTAGGGAGAGGGTTTAGGGCCGGCAGGGTGCTTCGTGGCCGCTATAGGGCAAATCTGCATCACGGCAAGAAGATCGTGATCGTGGTTGAAGGACCTAAGGATAGTGGGTAAAAGAAGGAGGTTATTTGCAGTGGCGGATCCAGGAATTCAACATTGGGTGTTTAAAAAAAAAAATTCCACCCTAATATAGAATGCTCTATTGCATACATTTCAAAGGTTTTTTTTTTATCAAAGGAGCTCAAGCTCCCAATTTCATTTCCATAACTGATAAAACAACCACCAATTAAAAGATAATTCACTTGTTGCTTTTCTACTAACGAAATCAAGCAGATCTTCACACCTCATTGTCATCCACGGCTATTTCTTTATGAATCGAGATAGCGGCTAGCCGGCTACACATTTAGTTGGAGATATCACAACAAAATTAAACCACCAAATCAACGATTGCAAATTGAGAGTTGGATGGGATTCAACTTAGGCTCAGTGATTGAGGTTGTTCGAGCCAATTGCTACACTGGCGTGTTCTCCTTCTCGACGTCGACGACCACGGCGGCCTCAACAACGATGCTCATCCCCACCCTCTGTGCGTCACTTTCCCGTCGCTCCTCCCCACCGGCGGTTGCGGGCACGACACTACACGACTTGTCTGTATCCTCTACCGAAAGCATGCCCGCTAGTCGCCATCGGCAGAGGGTCAGGCTGCCGCGTCGTCTGTGGGAACAGAACTTTTTCTAAGGGTTTGTGGGAACAGAACTACTCCCTTCGTCCACGAACAAGTGTACATCTAGTATTTGTCCCAAGTCAAAATTTTAAAACTTTTACCTATTTGTAAGTGCATCTAGTGCTCCTTAGTGATTTTGGTGTATTGAAGACTTATAGGTTAAAGGACTAATGTGTTTATGAGTGTACACAGGTCTATAAGTCTATGAGGAGTTTGATATTTACAGGGAAAGTCGACCCCTAAAAATGAATATCTTCGACTGAAGATTTTAGTATTCCTGAAGACTTTCATGAAGACTTTGAAAGTGAAGAAATTGGTGTGTCCGTGAAGACTTGATATTCATGCGAGGAATATGAAGGTTGAAGACTTCGTTTTCATAGTTTTGTTTTTCTCTTTCTTGAGTCATAGGAAACACCGTACTGTTAAAGGGGGTCGAGGAAATACTAAGGAAAAATTTCCATGTGATGCTCAACTCAAAATCCTACACCTACCAAACCCTTCGAGTGAAGCCTTTGGAAATCTCATACAGTTCAGTCAATTTCTTCAGTGACAGAGACGAAGTTCTTCTGGTCGCTGAGGAATTTGTTCTGACAGAGGAGTTAGGAATTCGCCAGTGCGGATTGCCTACACAGTGAGGAACATAATCGCCCTGAGGAATTTGATAGTCAAATTTCCGACCGTTGCTATGCTACGCGCCAGCTGTCCCAAAATATCTTATCCACCTAACGGTCATATCAGACAAGGGCATTTATGTCTTATCATGTCGGGCTGCTCCCTAGGCTATAAATAGCCGCCCCCCTACAACCACTAGCTGGTTGGCTGCTCCAAGAGAAACTGACACTTGTCATTTGAGAGCAACCCATCCTCCGAGGACTTTGAGCGAAAATCATCGAGTGAGGAAAACCCAAACCCAAACACCTACAAACCCAAAGTGATTGAGCATCACTGAAGAGATTGATCCTGCATGGATCCGATGCTTGTTTCCTTTGAAGACTGTGCTTCTTCCAGATGGTTAGGCGTCATGGTCTAGAGCATCCAAGAGGAATTGTGGATCGCCGAGTGACCGAGTCTGTGAAGGTTTGGAAGTCGCCTGAAGACTTACCACGAGTGATTGGACGAGGTCTGTGTGACCTTAGTTCAAGGAGAATACGATGAGGACTTGGTGTCCTGAGCTGCATGCTCAGCGACTGGGTGTCCGGGACTGTGTGTCCTCGAGTTTAAATACTCAGCCGCTCCAACCAGACGTACAACTAAGACAGCAGTTGGAACTGGTCTACCAAATCATTGTCTTCACCAACCTAACTGGTTCTATTTCCTCAACTCTTTCATTTCCTCATTACTGTGTTGAGTAATTGTTCATATCTGTGTTTGAAGACTTCGACTGAAGACTTTCTCAATTTCCTCAGTTCAATTTCTTCAGTCTGTTTGTCTTCATCTTGTGTTATCCTGTGATTATGCTTTCTGTACTCTGTGTTTGTCTTTATTTCATCATGATGACTATGTCTGTATCTTGTTATGCTTACTTCTGAGTACTTATTCTGCTGCAAGTAGTTCTTCGCTAAGGAATTTCCTCACCGGCAAATTCCTCAGTGAAGAATTCATAAAAATCGCCTATTCACCCCCCTCTAGTCGATATAACGCACTTTCAATTGGTATCAGAGCAAGGTACTCCCTTGTTCTGTGTGATTTTGGTTTAACCACCTGGAGTTCTAGTTATGCCGACCGCAGGTATGATCAAGGTCTCCGCTGGGTGTCCTACCTTCGATGGCACAGACTACCCCTACTGGAAGAATAAGATGCGAATGCATCTTGAAGCAATGGACAACGATCTCTGGTACGTTGTGGAAAATGGTGTTCCCTCAGTCACACCTTCCCTAAATGCTGCTGATGTGAAGAGATTCAAGCAACTCGATTCTCAAGCGAAGAATATCATATGTGGTCATCTGAGTAAAGGGCAATATGGTAGAGTGAGTGCTTTGGAAACTGCTAAGCTTATCTGGGATAGGCTCTCCAAAGTAAACGAAGGAGTCTCAACTCAACGTGACTCTCGTGTTGACGTTCTTCGCAATCTCTTCAACCGCTTCAAAAGACTCGACAATGAAATTGTTCAGCAAACCTTCGATCGCCTCACTGACATCTCAAATGAGCTTCAAGCGCTTGGCGCCACTAACATCACCGACCATGAGGTGGTGAAGAAATTGCTGAGATTGCTAGATTCCTCATTTGATACTCTAGCACTGATGATACAAGAGCATGCTGATTACAAGTCACTTGATCCCGCTGATATCCTCGAGAGGCTAAATACTCATGAGTTCCAGCTTGCTGAAAAGAGAGACCTCTATGGTGAAGGAAATATGCCCTAGAGGCAATAATAAAGTTATTATTTATTTCCTCATATCATGATAAATGTTTATTATTCATGCTAGAATTGTATTAACCGGAAACATGATACACGTGTGAATACATAGACAAACATAAAGTCACTAGTATGCCTCTACTTGACTAGCTCATTAATCAAAGATGGTTATGTTTCCTAACCATAGAGATGTGTTGTCATTTGATTAATGGGATCACATCATTAGGAGAATGATGTGATTGACATGGCCCATTCCGTTAGCCTAGCACTTGATCGTTTAGTATGTTGCTATTGCTTTCTTCATGACTTATACAAA